GATCCTACTGGTGGAAGCGGGTGGTTGCAATGGACAAAGAAGGTAGGTAATAGACCAACTAACGGCAACTCACGAGAGACCCTGTATTTAGTCCATCATTTCCTCCCTTAATCCATATAGGCATCAACCGTTTCAACCAATAGGATCGCTCTATACTCTGTATGTCTTCTTTGCCTATTGCTTTGTATATTAATTTCAACGATCAGCTTCCAGTTCATTCATTTTCCAAAAACAACGAAGTTTCTTTTCCCGTGCTCGATTTTACTATAACCATGGGTTTAAAAATAAGAAATTGAGACGTGACTCACTAAAATATACACGTGTAGTGGGAAGTCGTGACTCTTTTTATGACAGCCTTAAAAAAATTACGCAAAATCATGAAAATCTATCAGCGTCCTGATATGACTAATCCTGTTATGTCTTCATTGATGAAAGTAACGTCGTATTATGACTAATCCTGTTATGTCTCCATCAATGCCAGTAACGTCGTGTCCCACAAAGCGTTAAAGGGTTTAAAGGCGACTTCCGCAAACGACAACTCATAATTTTTCATCCCATCCCGGCTCGAACTTCCGTTTCTCCGAGATCCGGGACGTTGGACATAATCGCTGCGGCAATATGCTCGCCGGCCCTGATGACGTCCACTTACAGAGGCACCGCGACGCAATGGCCACGCAGCTCGTCACTCTTGTGACGTAAGCACGTATTTTCTTTTCGATTCGAGCCCTATTCTCCATATAAAACAGTGAATTTCAGGGCTCACGTGGAGACGGCGATGCGTCCTTACGTGAGAGGAGCGAGGAGCTCTTCGATTTACATAGGTGACAAAACGACGCGACGCCGCAATGGAATGGCGTAACTCGGTGACGTCGCAGCGACGGTGACGGACGTCTGGCGCCGGATCAAAACGAGCGTTTCCGGGGCCCGCCGCTGCGTTTTCCGGGTGACAGGTGACACATTTCGCGGCATCGCAACTCTAATTGAGAGTAATGAGACGAGGTCTATTGACAGAGCACGGCTCCCATACCCGAGGAAATAACCCGAGGTGGCTGTTGCAAGCTCTCGCCTCGGACAAGACTGGACCGTCGGTGAATCGCCTCCCGTGTTTTTCGTCAATACGCACCGATCGTGGCCGTCCAGTTGAATTTCGAGTCATTCTTAACGCGAGAGGAACAGCATCATCGAGGGGCTTAGATGGCAAGGCGCATAAGTGCGGTTTTTGAAAAAATTGAGGTATCAATGATTTCAAGTAAAACTAGTCTTAAGGCATATTCTAAGAAAATAAACTCGCTCCGTAAGTTCGAATTTTTAAGTGTCTAAACGTAGGTTTGAACTTTTTTCCCTCGTGTAAATGCAGTTTTTGAAAAAAATGAGATATTAATGATTTCGAGTAAAACTAGTCTTGATGTATATTCCGTGAAAAAAACTCTCTCCTAAGTTCCAATTTTTAAGTATCAAAACGCCAGTTTGAACTTTTTTTCCCGTGCGTAAGTGCAGTTTTTGAAAAAAATTGAGGTATTAATGATTTCAAGTAAAACTAGTCTTAATGCATAATCTAAGAAAAAAACTCGCTCCCAAGTTCCAATTTTTAAGTATCAAAACGTCAGTTTGAACTTTCTTTCCGCCGTGAGGATCCATGTAATTTTGAAACTTTAAACAAGTATTTCTCGAAATAGCAAAAACTGCACCTAAGCGCCTTGCCCTCCGAGCCCCTCTAATTCTTTCTCAGTTTTCATCGTCAATGAACTAGTAGACAAGGAACAAATTTAAGAATTCTGCTACAGATTTCTTGATCAAAATTGCAAGTATGGGTAGGAATGGTACATACGTTTTTTCTAAAATGGCCCGGAAATATTAGTTCCTTGATGCAACATGTAGTCCACGTGTTCACAAAGTCTTAATAAACATTGTTTAATGCAGTGGCGTGGCATGCTTTGCGAAATATCGATTGATCTGTCATTTAAACCTATGGGAAAGGATCAATTAACAAGGCGTTTTCAACGACCACCTTAATATTCAGATGGGGAAATATCGACGATCGATCATTCACGCCTCGCCACTGGTTAAATGTTGGAGACTTTAGAAAAATTGGACTACATTTTGCAATGGACCAGTGAGGAAGGTATGGATTTATGCATTCTGGTACATGTTTCTGAACCAAAATTTCATGCAAAACACACACAATTTTAGATTTTTTGAAGTTTTGTTCCATCCTGAAACGTATTTTGAGACCATTCAACGAATTTCGCACCGTCTCCCCCTGTAAGCTAAAATGACGCTTCGAGGATCTGATTCTGTCACCTTCGGTCAAGTTTAATCTCTTTGCAAAACTTAAAGCTTTATTTGGTTTTAGAGCTTGTGCGGTAATATTTAATGGTCTAAATGGTATATTTGAATCTAATGGAACATTTTTTTGGAGCAAAGATGGTTCGCCTCTGTTCAAAGATACATGAAATTTTTCCCCCCAAAACCTCGCAAAGACCGTTTACTCATAGCCGTAGAGAAGCATTTTACATATCTTTTACAAATCCTCATGTTTATACCTAAAATTTAAACGTATCTATTGGTGAATACTGGTAGATTATAAACACAGTCTGAAATACTCAATTTAGGATCAATATTTTAAGGCTGCACTTGACTCGGTAAAAATCGATGGGAAGAAAATAATTCTGATTTTTTTCTATGAGCCGGCAACATTCTTTCAGGCCATTTAACGTCATTACTCGTCCTGAAAATTCCATTTTACATACAACACCGACCACTCTCGATCTTTGTTGCCATATTTCGGGGTTAAATGGTGTGGACCCATCTTTACGATATGAAACTGACAGATTATTGGCATAGTTTGGCTGATCTGCTGCTGGTTTTTTTCTTGTATCGCGTGCTTTTCCACGCTGAGTTTTTATGTAACCGTGAATTTGTTACCAATATCGGGCGACTCCCTGGAGTCGACGGGAGGAGGAAACAGACCCAAATTCTCTGTTGTTACGATTGATTTGTAGTTATACGTATACTGATCGGGCATGGATTGGAATATAATTGCTATGACGCCGTTTTTTAAAGACATAACTGTTACTGTTACGCGATGTTTCAAATTTATAACATAATGCCTCCAAAATCGTGTATTTTGATGGCAAAATTCTGCAACCGCGTAACTCAATGGCAGCGTTTCAAAATTTCCGTTCATGTTTTTTTTTTTTATTTATTTATTTTTGTAGAAGAAACTGACGAATGCTGTGGCTTATAATGTTTATGGAGTATTTTTTACCAAGTGAAGAGAAATTAAAGAAAAGTTCCAGGAATAGTTGCAATACGTTACTCCGTTATAAAATGAAATACCAGAAGGAATTGGTATAATTTGGTTCCGCACTTTCGATGCTCATATTATTACAGATTTTTTTTTTTTTTTTTTTTTTTTTTTTTTTTTTTTTTTTTTACGAATGTTGTACCTTAAAATGTCTTACACTGAAGAGCTTCAAAAATGCGGACGAACTACAAATTCAAGAACAGCGCAAGCATGTGACAGAATGACATAATCATGTAAAAGCTACTGTATGAAACAAGCTGGTGAAATGGCGTTGGTTCCACACTATTCCCATTCGCCACCTAATGATTGGGTTGGTAGGTTTTTAAAATTTTTGCTCGTATTTATTTTTTCCAGAGTTTCTCGGATGGAATTTTCAAATATACTTGAAAAAATTTCTGTGCGACTGGAACTGCGCTCATTTGTTTAGATAATGTTTAAAGATAATTGTTTTTTTTCTGTCCCTAGAAATGAAAATTTGCAAAATCAGGGATGAATTTCACTATAGAAATAGGAAAAAATAAGGTGTAAAATAAATCCAAAATAACCGGAGGCTTTTTAAAACCTAACTGTAAAGGTAGTAGGTTTACGCGAATTGGATGTCGTCAAGAAAGGAATAATTCTGGAAAATTCACAACGATTTTCGACTGGGTATTCGGAGTGAGTTGCAGCGTGCATAATTCATAATTACCTTTCACCAAAGAATCTCCCTCTACTCTCCTGCCTCAAGATCGATCAACTGGCTCTGCGAGAGTTGAATATTACCAGCGAGAACGTATTCAGAAAATATCTTCATTTTCTCCTAATTACTTCTGTATTATATCATTTGCCATCAATGCCAGAAAACGTAATAAAAAAAGACTAAGGATTTATTTCCGCCCTGTGAAGGGAATTTCGATAAGCATACTTACCAGCTGTTCCTGACCTGTCCCTGATTTTGCCATTAAATGGAGGAATATTTAGGGTCCATGAATCTTAAACTATGATTGATAAACTTCTTAATCGCCGTTTATGACTTGATAAACTCAATCGAGTGCAGTGGCGTGGCGTGAATGATGTATTATCGAAATTTCCCACTTGAAGCTACGATAAAGAATCGACTTTTTAGGTGTTCGTCGCGAACACCCTGTTTATCGATCATTTTCCATGGGTGTTTATGGCAGATCAATCGATATATCGCAAATCACGCCACGCCACTGCAATCGAGAGGGAAAACAGAAGAGGACGGAGGAGCATATATTCGCATTCTTAGCATTTTTCGTCATTTCGCAGAATACGATTTTTAGTCGAACCATACTTAAGAACTTTGAAACTCACCTCCTCCTCCTCCTCCTCCTCCTCCTCAAAATGGTTACAAATAATTTGAGAGAGAGAGGATTTTATTATAATTCAAAAGTCTGTGTTACTTACAGTTATTTGGTTGTTCATAATCCTTTTCCTTCAACAAATTACCAAGAGAATTTGAGAGAGATATTTTTACATCCTTTTGGGAATGATATATTAACATATCCGACAAATTACTGCTTTGCAGTATCAAACTACACAGCACTATAACGTTATTGTGTCTCTTTCCTTTTGTTATTTTTTCACGAAGGAAACAATTCTTTTGTCCTCGTAATTTTTCTTAATTTTCAGGTGAAACCAAAATTGAAAAGAAAACTGAATTCTGATAATTTACAGTTGCTTTTAATATTATTTTTACAATATTATTTACAAGCTTAATTTATATACAGTAACAGTTAAAATTGGCATCTTTACCAGGAACGAACTTATGGATCGTGGATACTCTCGAGGAGTATTCAAGAGAAACAATCAGGAAATGAGGCCGTTAATGTAGCCAGTATTTGATTGGATCTTTTGAAATTCCGAATTTCATTTGTGTTAATGGCGTGAGTAAAAACCTTATCAGTACATTCCACGTTGCCACATAAAAAAGCAAACATTCCCCGAAGTTAGATCGAATGATAGCCAAATTATCGATTTGATAATGAAGTCCCTTTTTTTACCAACCTCACCAATTTTCTATGATTTTCCTTTTATTTTCTTAAGGATACCAACCTCATTAGCAAAAAAATTGTATTTTCGGGGAGGCTGGTTCGGATAATAAAATCTACATGTAGTAAATGCATTCACGAGGTAGGTTTTGGTAGCTATGTGAGGTATTCTGAAGAATTTGTCCCCACCATTCAGTGCATAAGATACACTTTTAACATTTCTGCATTGCGACTCTATCGAAGGATGTCAATCTAAAATCAACTGTACGCAATCAGTCAGTCGTAAATTGCTAGAGACGATAGAACGAATAAAGCGCAGGGCTATTAAGACTACAAACAGTTTGAGCTAATAACAAGGAGGTGAAAACTTAAGTGTCTAGTGGTTCCATCTGAATTACATTTCGCTTATGGTGATAAGAGATTTCAATTCTGCGCCGTGTTTATTTGTATAACCATGAGCAGAAGCAAAATGCGCTTCAAGACAAAATCCCTATTCACTGCATGGAGTATGGAGTCCACACATTTTAACTCCGATTTTTGTGTGGTATGAACACGTTTCGATCACTCCATTATGTCTCTCTCTGCAATCAGGACTGATAAACGTTCGAAGATCTTTAGCTCCTGCGCAATGAGCTGAGATTCATTCATTTTCAGTAGCCTAGCGCATTCGGACCGCGTTAAGCATAAAGGAACCAAATCACATCGGCTATTGCCCAATTCAACCGGGCAATTTATATTTTGGACGAAACCGATTGTGCGGAGTTCTCTGCAAATTTCATCGAAGTACGAAGCAGATTCCTTAAAATTTTCAAAAATCCGCTCAATAATTCTCTTGTGAAAAATGAAATTGCTCAGTGAAAGGCAATAGCTTATGTGACTTGGTTTCTCTCTGCTAAACGCGGTCCAAATCGCGCACCGTAGTGAACACACAATGCGTGAAGTATTCACGCAGTCTTGTAGGCGCTAATATGCGCCAAGCACGGGCCGTGATATCACGCGCAATGCGGGAAGTATTCATCTAGTCTTGTAGGCGTTAATGTGCTTTCCGCGCCACACTATATTTGGCGCGATTAGTTTACCTCGCGGAGTCAGTGTTTTTCAGGACTGATAAATGTTCGAAGATCTTTAGCTCCTGCGCAATGAGCTGAGATTCATTCATTTTTAGTAGCCCAGCGTATTCGGACCGCGTTAAGCAGAAAGGAACCAAACCACATCAGCTATTGCCAAATTCAATCGGGCAATTTATTTTTTGCACGAAAACGATTGTGCGGAGTTCTCTGCAAATTTCATTGAATTTGTTACGAAGTACGAATCAGATTCCTTAAATTTTAAACGGAATCCGTCCAATCTTTCTCTTGTAAAATATTGAATGACGCAGTTAAACTTGGCAATGACTGATGCGGTTTCGTTCCTTTCCTCTAAACACGGCCGATTTATCGGAATTCTCTCGAATTAAGCATTTTTGGTTTTTTTTTGCATATCAAGACTTTACCTTAGCTTTTACTTCACCACAATCCTCCGTAAACCTGCAAGGAAAATCGTCGAACGGCACTGATGAATTGAGATTTCGTCATACTGAAAAAAAACTCCGGCTTTGGAAGCCGTACTTACAGGCTATGCAGACGTAACGCCTACTTTCCTGGCTAAGAGGCCGAAACCTCCTGACATAGCACCCGGAGCAATCAAAGCCACGGCTCCAGCACCCGGAAATTCCGGCCTCTGAGCCCGGAACGGACAGTATGTCTATATAGCCCGTAGCTTTTTATTCAGTGCAGAGGAATAAAATTACGCGTATCCAGAGGAGTTGTTCTCGCTGTCATCCGTGTCAAAATTAAAGTTGTAGCCATCGTTGCTGGAGTCGTGAGAGGAGCCACCGCTGTGCGCCTCGGCTTGCCCGCCGAACGAACTCAGGTTCTCGCCGAAGCTGTTCGACTCCGGTCTCTCCGAGTTCTCCGTATACCTTCCGCTCTCGTGGCCACCCGAGCTGTTCTCCGGGTTCCCGAAGAAGTCCGACTCGGAGCTACCCCCAAAATCAGCCCCCGTCAGCGAACTGGCTTGACTGTTGTTCCCCGAGTTGTCAAACCCCGAAAACGTGGCCCCGAACCCAGGGAAGTTGTCCCCGTCGCTATGGTTGACCTCCTGCTTCCCGACGATGGGAATATGGAGAGGCACCTTCACTTCCACTGGGTAAGGGATCTTGATCGGAACCTTAATGGGCACAACGATGGGTTTCTGCTCCCAGGGGATCTGTCGCTCCACATCAATGGGGTACGGCCGCATTCCGGGCTGTGCGAAGGAGAAGGGTCTCTCGACTGAGAACCTCATCGGGAACGGGACCTTCTTCTCCAGAGGATGCGGACCGGGCTGGACGGGGAACGGTCCCTGCTGGACGGGGAACGGCCCCTGCTGGATGGGGTACTTAACGCTGAATGGCACGTGTTTCTCCACAGGGTACGGGACTTTCCGCTCGATGTAGATCGGGAACGGTTTGGGAACGTGGATTGGGATGGGCTTGTCGACGGGGACTTTAACGGCGAAAGGAACGTGTTTCTCGACCGTCACCGGAACGGGAACCTGTACGGGGACTTTGACCGGGTAGGGCACCGGTTTGTCCACGTGCACAGCGTACGGCTTCGGCACCGTGATCGGGACCGGTCTGTCGACAGGGACTTTGACAGGGTACGGGACTTTCTTTTCGACGTGGACGGGGTACGGCACGGGGACCTCCTTGGTGATGGTGATGGTCTTGACGGGTTCACCATTGGCGGTTTGACCGTGGCTCACGTAGCTCTGCGGGGGGCCAGGTGAGAAGCCGGAGAAGCTGTTGCTATTAAGGGCGCTCGTTTGCGGGGCGTAGGCGTCTAAGGAGCTGAAGCCTTTGGGTCCGAAGCCGGCGTTTCGGTAGTAGCCGAAGCTCCCGCCGTAGTTGCTGTAGCTGGGGGCGTAGCCGTAGGTGTAGCCGGGGCTGAAGCGGTGGCTGCCCGGGTAGCCGTGGACGGAGGTGATGGTGATGACGGGGGCGTTCTCGGACTCGTCGTTGCCGGTGATGGCGCCGATGAACTTGGCGAAGAGGCCGCGCTTGTGCGGGTGCTTGTGCTTCTCGGTCAGGTCGAAGAACTTCTCGGAGGCCTGCGGGACCTGCTGGAGGGCGATCGCGGTGGCCATCGGGCGCCGGCCTTTGTGCCGCTCCGAGGCGAGGCCAAGACTCAGTATCGCTGCTATACTAACCGCCACCACCTGGAACCAAGCGAAAAACATTGCAACATTATTCATCAATGGGATTTTTGGAGAACCACACAAACAGTAGTCGATACACTGGAAAAGGAATTACGGGCTATATACTGCCGTGCTAAGGAAAAACGCCGTATGAACATTGGAGAATTGCCAAATTTCCTCCGATAACATGTATATTTATGAGGAAAGTTATGAATATTTTTCCTTCGGATATTTAGACTTTTTACATCAAACTATACGGACGAAAACCTGTGAACAATTGAAGGAGAAATATCCGCAGATATTCCTGAAAATTCGTGATTTGTAGAGGGAAATTTGGCATCGCCTATTGGCTCATACGGCATTCTTTCTTAGCACGGCAGTCCACGTTCTGGGCTCAGGGGCCGAAAGCTCCAGGTGCTGAAGCCGTGGCTTCGATCGCTCCGGGTGCTAGGCCCGGAACTTTCGGCTTCTGAACCCGGAACGCACACGGTATGTATATACAGCCCGTAAGCACGGCCTCCACGGCCGGAGTTTTTCTCAGTGTAAAAATAAGTTTTTTGACGTTACTCATCATATAGGTTTGCTGATTTTACAACTTTTTTGCATTTTGGATCCCATGTAGCAATGATAGTTATGAGGCAATTTTTAAAATCTCCCAGAGAAAAACTGATAAAAATTATCTTTCAGTAAACCCCGTTTGTTTATAATTTAATTAAAATTTACGGGTAAAAAGTCTTTTTAAGATAGTACCTTGTTTTCGATTGTTTTTTTGCACATTTTTCAAAACATTTTAAGTGCAGAAAAGCTGCAGTAGATATTTTAAGAATTTTTTTTTAACATTATTCATTTTACCTCTTGTAAACTTCACTGAAGAAAAACTAAATAGCGTTTCCTATATCAGCTTCTTTAAGAATTAGGTCTTTTTAAAATTTGCTCGTTTTTCAAAAGCTTTTGTTACAGTCATAATATACTGGGAAAATGTATTTGACAAGTCAAAGTGTACTCGTATATGCCCGCGTAAAATGTTTCTGCTGCAAAACCGAAATTTCCGACGAATATTACTCAACTGAACAGACCCAACGTGGTTTGTTCGTTGTTTATTAATTTTCAAGGGCTGCTTAATGAAAATTCTAGTGATTTCTCTATGAATATCCTGGAAGGTTGTGCTCACGACTAATAAAATAATGACGCGCTTGATTCAATCATTTTAACCAAACGGTTTGATCTTTCTGAGTGAACGTCGTTTTCTAACCAGACATGCTTTTATCTAAAAAAAAGGTAAATTTAATGAAATGGAGAATTCCCTGCTCGATTGCCGTACGTTCGTCTATCCGTGTTTACTTCAATGAATAAAATAGGATGTATTCAAATGGATAATGGAGTTTAGTCAATAATGTATAGCATTTATGTATGGCAACCTTGCGTATGTTTCAGACTTTCCTTTTCGTTATGAAAGATGCTGTAGACTAGCCCACATTTCAACAATAGGCAATTTTGACAATCTCGATTATATAAATTAAACTATACAAAGTTGGTAAAAATATCGGCACAACCGTTTTCGTCTTCTTTTTTCAAAATTTTACGGAGGACTGTGAGTTGATTGGACCGCATTAAGCAGAAATAAACCAAGCCACATCAGCTATTGCCAAGTTCAATGGGGCAATATAATTTTTACATGAAAACAGTTGTGCGGATTTGTGTGCAAATTTCAGTGAGTTTTCTGCATAGTGCAAAGCAAACCCCTTAAAATTTTCAAAAAATCCGATAAACAAATTTCAATATAATTCTCTTGTGAACAATTAAATTGCTCAGTGAAAGGCAATAGCTGATGTGGCTTAGTTCTTCTCTGCTTAACGCGGTCCAAATCGCGCACCGTAGTGAACACGCAATGCGTGAAGTATTCACGCAGTCTTGTAGGCGCGAATATGCGCCGAGCACGCGCCGTGATATTACGCGCAATGTGTGAAGTATTCATCCAGTCTTGTAGGCGCTCATATGCGTTCCCCGCCACACTGTGTTTGGCGCGATTAGTTTACCTCGCGGAGTCAGCGTTTTTCAACTTGTTATGACCATTAGATTTTTGCACATTTAACAACGTATTCCTGTCATTTAAAATGATAAAAAAATAATTACATAAAATCTAACCAATTTTTCTATGTTTATTTACAAGCGATTAACAGTATGCCCGCACCTCTTGCGAAACTGCTACTTTGTCAGCCACTGAAAACTGGTAAAAACGGGAGTAGCCATTGTTTACGCTCTCAACACGCCGATCGCTAGCTACGGAGATAGTTGCTGCGTTGCCTCGTTACTTCGGGAGAATAGAAATGTTCGAAGGACAGACCGATTTTTTTGCTGTAGAAAGGGTCTTGTTAGAAATATATTCTTTACAGTGAGAGATTACTGTACTATCGAAAGTCTAGGAGTAGTCGAAGGGTTTTTTGTTATCTTTCTTCTCAATGATTTAAATCCCTCTCAAAACTCCGACTTTTTACATCTTTGACAGATACCCAGGCTACTTTTTGACTCCATTGGCCCGATTTTTCTCTTTTCACGTAGCACAAAGAGGAAATAGCCGGTGAAATTGCCGCGGGCCGATTATTGAAATTCATAGACCAAGCGATAGATAAAGAAGACATAGGGAGTATGGAGCGATCTTATCGGTCAAAATGCGTGGTTCCTTTAGACTAAGAGAGAATATGATGGACTAACTATAGTCTATCGTGGGTTGCCGTTAGTTAGCTGATTACCTACCTCCTTTATCCATTACAATCACCCACTTCCACCAGTAGGGTCCCTCTCTATCCCCTTTGTCTTCATTGTTTATAGTTTCGTCCATCAATTTCAACAATCAGCCCGCTGAGTTGTTAAAACACAGACCTATGACTTTAATACCGACAAGTAATTTCTATCGATAAAGAATCGGCTCTTCAAACATGAATTCTATGAAACAGTGAAAAAGTGCTTTTCACGGAGCCGCGCGCCGTGGGGGATATGCAACCCGATGGCATCATTACGGCAACGATATTACGCGACACGGTGTTCGGAGACGACCGGCTAGTTGACTTCGGTGACGATGCATCTGCGATTCGATTTTACTCGGTAATTATTTTTACTGGACTCGCCGCAATTGGCATATGCGAATCCTCGACTGACCGAATGTAGTCGGCGAGATTCGCCATTCAATCTACCACCACGCGAACGTTTTCCTTTTTTCCTCGTCTGCCTTGAAATCTACTTTCCCTGCTAATATTGAGTAATCACTCGAAAGAAAGCTTTTGCTCCAAGTTCACTCTGTCAGCTTATCGCTCGGTCCGCCCACTTCCTGTCTCGCCGCACAATAGATCGAGTCAAGGGGGGGGGGGAGTCAGACAAAATTTGGAAACTTTAAAAGCTTATAACTCCGTTTATACAAAACTTTGAGGTTTTAAAAGTGGTTCCATCGGCCTCCTCGTGAAATTGTCTGCTAGGGGCACCCCGTTAAATTTAGAATGTGGCCAAATAAACATCAAAATTTGCAGTTTTAGTCAAAAATTTCACGTCTACCTCTCTAATTGACTCGATCCACTGTGCGCCGTCCGGATATTGTCATTTTTTCGCAGTTGTTCCTTCCGTTATACTGTTCAAAATCGAGGAGAAATTCATCGCCGGAGCCTATCTAGCACCTAAAAACCCCGAGTGATATGAATGCGAAAGGACTTCAGCACCATGAAAGCGTATGACACTCCACAAAATAAGTAGATTTCGCTCCGAATGCACTTCACTTTATGTTTTTGGGCGCTGTATAGACTCCAACACAGAATTTCAGTCCAAAATTTTCAACAGTTCACTGAAAAAAAAATCTTCAAAAAATCATCTAAGTGAATTGCATCGACTCTTACAACCTTATACTTTATATCAATACCTTGATACAAATTCCAACCCCAACAGTGATTTAAGACCGCTCTTCCGAATTCTGATCAAATTTTAGATGCGAAAGTAGTTAATCCATTCCGAAAATTATGAGTGTTTCGTACAGCCGGTAGCGACATACTTTTTTCATGCATTATACCAGAGAGTAAAATTAATCGGTTTCTTTTTTAAAATACTCGATGCAAGTGCAACTTTTCGATCACTGCAATTGCTTGAGACAGTGCCCCAGACTTCAAAATATTACAAAGTTCCATTTTCGTTCACAGCTTCATGCATTTAAATGTTTATAGGAATGAAGAAATATTTACAGCTAGTGATACACCTGATGTATCCAGAACGATTCTTTTCTTTTTTGTCTATAATATGTTTAAAAAATTCATAATTAGAAGCATCTTCCAAGAATAATCAAAGGGTTAAATAATGTGTTGACAAATTATCGATAAACGTATGCCCCTCTCCATCATCAATTTATTTTAAACTGTCGAGAAAACTGGGGAAGAATGCCAGAGCATAATTGTGTCCAGGTCTAACATTCGAAACAACCATTTTCGGCTCAAGCTTTTTTTTGAGTTTTGTGGCTTCTATTCCTTTGTATTGGGCTCAAGCTTAAAATATACCAATGAAAACAGACTGCTAAACAAGGTCAGAAATCAAGCATCTCAAGCCCTCTCATCCAAATTTTATGTATAATACGGTGAACTTTTTGAAAATTACCAAATTCAATTCAATACAGAGAAATTAGCCATATTTGAGCTCGTAAATACAAATTCCCTGCTCCCAAGAAAACTGAAGTCTCTACTCAAATAAAGTTGGCGATAAGAATTAGTTTAGTGTGCTCAACAGTGAAAAAAACATGTATCGTAATGTTCAATTTCTCTTGATACGCTTTAAAACACCATGAAAAGTAGAAAAAAAGGAAAATTTTATGAAACCTGCATCCTGGGTTATTTGCGATATGATAAATTGATTTTCAATGACCGATTTGCCGTGCGTTGATTATGGATTTCCGTCGCTGAAAGTTCGAGATATGTTATTTTACGTAATTAATATTAACTAGCTGGAATAGGATTTAGTGACATTCTCGTGCTAATAAGGAAGAGGCTATAAAA